AAAAAAAAAACAAACAAAAAACCAAACCAAACAATGCTAGATGAGTTTACTTCCTTTCAGAAAAATAATGTAGCCAAAGTGGAAATGGTGAAAAGTAAAACTTAGATCTCAGATTTATACGCAACTTCACTCATGTAAAAGGTGTTCTTAAAATTGATTAAATATTTGCAGCATAAGGCAATAAACACCCTTCTTGAAAACCGATCAAGAGAAATAGATTTAACCATATCAGAATAAGAAATCAGAAATTCAGTCTTAATGATTTCAGAGAACTCAGATGAATCTTCAAATGATTCCAGAGGCCCAAAGAACCAGGGAGAAAAAGAAGTCTAAAACTCAGGTACTTGCATTCTTCGCCCTCCTCAAGCGCATCACCTACGGTGACTCAGTAATATGAGTCCCTTTTACCAATGTCAAACTACAAAATCATGATGGAATGAAGACAGCCTGAAATGCTTCCACTTCTTCAGATAAAAGAAGTTCACTACATTGGAATCACAACAACTGTCAAAACTTACTTGTCAACTGTATTGTTAAATTTTACATCCCTACCACAAGAACGATGGAATGGATCAATGAATATTTCAAATCAGAAAAAGTTTTGTTACATACTAAAAAAATTGTTACATACAGAAAAGTACTAACGATTACATAATTACAGGAAAGTATCTCTTTATGCCATAACAAGAGCAAGAAGAACACAAACAAGCAAACTGTAAAATACAAAAATAAGTCAATAATTCAGAGTATTCACATATTTCTGTATCTTTCATCAATAATGAATATTGTTTGGCACATTACTGAAACATAAATGCTGAAGATACATCAAAAAGAAATACATTTCCAAAAGTGAGCTATCCAAATTAATCATCATGCCAGGGTTCAATAATCTTGAAAAAAGAAAACGTATTTTCAAATATTCAAGAAGTTACTGCACTATTTTATTTAAAAAAAATAAAAAATAATAAAAAAACCCCAACAAATACCTTGCCCCAGAGGCTGGTATGATCTCATGGGAAGGAGCAGGACCAGAGGATCTGTTTATCCCTTTATTAAAAAACCGGCAAGTCTTGCATTATGATAGTTAAAAATAAAGCAGCCAAGTGAAGCAAATCACTTCATACCTGACCAGTTGCTAAAGTTTCTTACCTCAAAGCCCGACTAAGCTTCTCATAGTTCATCGTGGGCTTGTTTTTGCGCTGTCCCCATTTCTGCGCAACCAGTTCAGGCTGATTCAGTTTAAACTCTCCTTCGTCACCAACCCAAGAAATACAGTCCCGAGCATCTTTGTCAGTGAGAAGTTCTAACAAAAACTGCCACAACTGGATCTGGCCATTGTTTCCTGTTGAAATAGAGATCACAAGATCCATTTCAAGTAGTCCTTTTTGCATTCCCCTCATACCTAAAAAATTCCAACCAACATATTAAAGCTGACCAACACAGACTACATGATGGAGGGAAAACTTGTACTTAATTAATTTCTTCTGATTATACTTTTGTAAACATTCTCCAGCAAAGTCATCAGTATTAATCTATTAAAAAAGAAAATTATTAATACAGAAAAAAAATTGTCATTTCTCATATGTCCCTAGAACTTAAGAAAAAAAATTTATGTAACACATAAATAAACATATCTATCCCTGAAATAGAACAGATTTAGCAACAGCTGCTTATTCCTCTTCATGCACATACATATATATTTATATATGTAATAGAAGTTCTTTTTTCAAAAAATAGCTGTCTCCAATTTTCAACATCAAATATTAGAAATAAAAAAAATAAATCCCAAACTTCTGTTTACGTCAATATAACATCTTTCACGACCAATAATTAAGATTTCTTTTTAATTCAAGTATCCGCAGTTAAATTTCTAAATTCTCAACAAGACAGTTAGCAGACCTAATGTCTAAAGGGAGAACCATAGAGTATTCCCCACTGATGTCATCTGACAAAATCTTGACCTAAGAATCCTGAATGACATCATAATAGACTTTTATGAAGAGTTTAAAACAAAAATTCAAGGGGAAGGAAAGGATTTAACAGAAAGATTCACAACAGGGGAGAGAACAACAGTAAAAATGATAGCAAGAAAAAAATAAGACAAAGAAATTAAGATGAGTTATTAACAATGAAAGAGTATGTATGAATAACAGTAATTCCAAAAATAAACTGCAGATGTAGAGTGCAGTTTTCTAGAAGGCGCACTCATTTAAGAAAAAGGGAATCTGAAACTTGCTAAATTCTTAAGTCACCAAATTAGCAGGGGAGGAAGAGGGGACTAAGTAGAGCAGGTAGCAGTTAGGCTGGGATTCTGCAACATACAGTTTATTTTCTCCCCTTTCTGCAAATGCAAAGTGGAAAGAAGTTAAAAGCTGGAATGAATGCTATGCAGTGGTTTGAGACGACGGGCTGTCAAGTGATAGGAAAAGAAACGATTTTATTTAATTTTTACTGCAGGACTCAAAAGCCGCAGCATCACGTTAACATAGTGCCTGTGTGAGCTAACCAACCTGCCAGGTCTGCATGTGCTTGTGATATATTTTGTAAACACAGCCCCCTTCATACCACAGACTTCTACAAACCTCACATTTAGAGTGACAAAGATGTGTTTTACAAAACTTTAATTCAGATTAATGAGTGTTTACTGCATTTGCATTTAAAAATAATGGAGACAATACCTGTTCTGTTCCCAGGGGAACTCCTATCTTCCCCAGAGATCCTTGGAGCTCTCTGTACTTTAGCTGCCTTTGCACTGCTGTTTATTACTTTAATGGTGGTTGGGGTAGCAGGCTGTACAGATGCTGGAATAATCTGCACAGCTGAAAAGCAGAGAACATCGCAGAACATCAATTATAAATTGCTGGCACAGAAATATGCATATATTATTTATTACTCGTATTATCATAATATCTAGGAGCTCGTTTTTTCCTTTGCTAAAAAGACGCACTGTATAGGTCACAATGCTAAGAATAATTTAAAGACTTTCTGCCTCCTACAGTGGAAATTGTGGTTTTAGTCTTGTAGCAGAGATGCCACAGTACAGATAAAACATCAGCTTTAGTTTACTATCATGGGTATTAATTTGTTTCCACTGGAAAAGCCCTCACACGCCTTTGTTTTCATCTTTATGCTGTTCCCATACGATCTACTTTTCTCTATAGTCACTGTACAACCCTCCATACCTGCTACTCAAACAGCAATTAAATACCTTTCATTTGCAATGGTGTAAGAGGATCCAAGCGCCCCACTGTAGCTGGCTTTAACTAGACACAAACACAGGATGTAATACACTATCTATTTAACAAAAAAGCTGCTCACAAGTCTTCTGAAAATTGATTCATTTTAATAATTGATGATACTGCTTCAGCTGGAAGAATGAGTTTCAAATAACTGGAAGTTACTTTAATGTATTTTTTTTAAGTATTGGTTTTTAAACAAGTCCTCTCTTCCACAGTCTCTTTCAGTTTTTGGAAACGCTTTCTTTTGAAATCTTAACTTTTTAATATATCCATTCATTAATGCAATATATAACCTAAAAACCCAGAACAACTCAAGACCTCAAATATGTATCCTAGACAGCTTATTTCAAAAGAGTGGAAAACCTATCACCCAAAACGAAACTTTCATAGTTCAGGCCATACACCACCTTTCAGCCAATAACAAAATATCAAGAAACCCAATGTTTTGGTTTGAAGTTTAAAACACACCCTCCTGGTGTTTTTTAAACACAGTTTAAAACACACCCACCAAGGAAAACTACTTTCTTGAGTCGTTTTCTAAAGGTTGTACTATCATAGCACTGTAGTACAGTGCTAATCCTGCAAACAGGTAATTGTGCGCATTAACTGCTGGCCAGTACTTACGCTGATCAATAGTAACAGTTGCTATTTCTCCAGAGTGTTCTTGGCTAGCCAACACATCTGCAAATCAGGAAAACAAAAAATGAGTTTTCATTTAACCCACAAATTTCAAGGCACCTGAAGATCAAAAATTTTCATATTTCATGGAGAAAAAAAAAATTATCAAAATTTTGTATGAGTTTGCAAGAGACATGCATAGCTCATGGTCTTATGAGTAGAGATATTTAATTTTTAGAATGTACGTGGCGAATTTCAAGGTATCTTATGCCTTCTCCTTACCTATGATATAGTCTTAGCTGTATCATGTGAATGAAGATGGAAAGTTTTTAGTCTGCCAAGTTATATCCAAGCACAGTGAATATGAAATACACCTATATATGATTGCATTATGCATATATAATGCAGCACTTATCGGTTGTGCTGTGCACAACCTAAGGATTTCATTGCCTATGCTAAATAATCTTCACTTCTGTATGACACAGAGATGTACATTAAATGATTCACAATCAATATTTAATTATAAAACTGTCAAATTCAGGAGATGCACAAACTAAAAACCTTTATTAAAACAAAGGAGGAATCATCAGTCACTGCTTCCTCTCTATTAGTCATGAAGTTTGATGAAAGACAGGCAAACAGTGGTCGGTACGCAGACACGTTCCGGAACAGCAGACATTCTCACTAATACCTCCTGTTATCTTGTATTGATGCCCTCATTTTTACTGCCAATATTAAATATAGGAAAAACAACTGTTCACAATAGCTTTCATCTTTAAAGAAAGAAAAAAAAAAGGAAAGAAAACAAGAGAGGAGGAGAGAGAGGGAATAAGAAAAATCAGTTACAGAAAAATCTCCCATACACTTTCGAAGAAGCTCCAAATGGCTCCAGAGGATTTCTCCCCGCGGAACGCGCTGGAAGAATTCGTCTTGACTGAGGCTGCAGAGCTCCCGCATGCCGAGTCCATTGAGGTCAATGTCAGTCATGCTGAACTCCTTCATCACCCACACCACCCAGTGGAGCACCTGGTCTGTCGACCACTGGACTGGGTCTGAGGACAGAGAGACAAAGCTGCAATTCATCCCATTATATACTGAAGATTCCTCCTCACTAAGGATACACAGCTAGTCCTTACTGTAACTGGTGACAAGAAAGAAATACAAGAGGCTACTGATCCCCAGAGTTCAAACAAGAGTAACTCAAGAGTTTCTTTTTTTTTTTTGTATGACCTTTTCTGAAGGCCTTTTAAAATCCTTTATTTATGGGGTTCTTGTTATGTTTTTTTTAAAAGGGCCTACGGCAGCAGTCTGTGCTGCTATTCAGCTAAAGTCCAATGATGGAAAGTTTTCAATTACATAACATCAAAAAGCATAGTTACTGTGACCAAATCTGACTGGATGGAAAGTCAGCTCTTAAAATTCTGAGGGAGTGGTGTGGCTTGGTGGGGAGACGGAAAGGGCAAAAAATGGATTTTCTTTAGCAAAACTTTTACATCAGAACTACATTTACCATTTCTCAAACACAGAAAATAACTATTTTTCTTTTTCTATAGGTCTTTAGTTACAAAAAAGAGTAGTATGTCTCATACTGGGATGCTCTTCCTCAAATGTGTTGATCAGCATGTGATTGTCATGAAATACTACATTCTAAACTCATTCACATTAACCCAGGTTCTGAACTATTTAAAAACACCATCATACTGGGTTTGGCTGGAACTGAGTTAATTTTCTTTACAGTAGTCCATATGGTCCTGTGTTTTGGGCTGGTGACCAAAACACTGTTAGTAACACACTGCTGTTTTAGCTACTGTTGAGCAGTGCTTGGACAAAGTCAAGGTGTGACTGACTACAGCTGTAAGGGTGGAACATGACTCGCCTACAACAGAAGAAGGCTCCAAGGAGACGAGCAAGGGTGAAGCGCTCATGCAGCTCAGAATAATGCAAAGAAGCTGACTTTATCTCAATAAAAAGGAGGGAGAGGGTGGCCCTTGTTTTAGACAAACAGCTATCAACAGCTGAGTGGATCAACTGGTGGTGCAAACAGCTCCCTGAATCAGCCAGGCTATCAAGCAGACAGTGAATATATGGCTCAACTCAACATGGAGTACATGAACTAGACAACCAGCAGAAGAATTTCGAAGACAGCAACAGGCTCGTTTCATAGAATCACAGAATCATAGAATGGTTTGGGTTGCAAGGGACCTCAAAGATCATCTAGTTCCAACCCCCCTGCCATGGGCAGAGAAATCCTCCACTACACCAGATTGCCCAAAGCCTCATCTAACCTGGCCTTGAACACTTCCAGGGATGGGGCATCCACAACTTCTCTGGGCAGCCTGTTCCAGGGACCTCACCACCCTCAATGTAAAAAATTTCTTCCTTATATCTAATCGAAATCTCCCCTCTTTCAGTTTAAATCCATGGCCCCTTGTCCTATCACTACAAGCCCTTGTAAAAAGTCCCTCTCCAGCTTTCCTGTAGGCTCCCTTTAGGTTCTGGAAAGCTGCTATAAGGTCACCCCGGAGCCTTCTCTTCTCCAGGCTGAACAGCCCCAACTCTCTCAGCCTGTCTTCATAGCAGAGGTGCTCCAGCCCTTGGATCATCTTTGTGGCCCTCCTCTGGACTCGTTCCAGTAGTTCCATGTCCTTCTTGTGTTGGGGACTCCAGAGCTGAACACAGTATTCCAGGTGGGGTCTCCCAAGATCTGAGTAGAGGGGCAGAATCACTTCCCTCGACCTGCTGGCCACACTTCTTTTGATACAGCCCAGGATACGATTTGCTTTCTGGGCTGCCAGTGCACATTGCCGGCTCGTGTTGAGCTTCTCAACCACCATCACTCCCAAGCCCTTTTCCTCAGGGCTGCTCTCAATCCATTCTCCGCCCAGCCTGTACTTGTGCTTGGGATTGCCC